ACATTTTAGATGGAGTATAATGGTATATGAACGTAGCATTGATATAGGTAGTGGCACAAAACTCACAATGAATTCAGGGGTACAAGAGGGTATTAGCTTAGAATCAGCCATATCCACATACTACAGTTATATTATGACTAATTTGAACATTATATTGCAAGCTCATGAACACGAAACAATTGTTAATACAGCCAAGTTAGTATTTATTGTGATTATATATTATAAAAATTTTAATTAATTTTAATTTTATTATGGACTTTTAGAGAGTTATGTGGTACTGTCAAAGATTTTATTGTTTGCATATCAGAAATTAACAATGTTATTGACAATACTGAATTCAATGATTTACACCAAGATTTAAAGTATAAATTAGACACACTTTTAAAACTCCTTCAAAAAGAAGAGTTCAAAATAACATATCAGACTAAAAACGTAAGATATTAACTTTTATTTTTTCCATTGCGGGTTTTAAGTTTTTATTTTTAATTAGGAAACTGTACATACTAATGATCTAAATGAAGAGCACATTAACATTAATAAAATAACAAATGACAATATTAAAGATACAGAAAGTAAAGTCATAAAAAAAGTAAGACAATTAATTTTTGTTTTTTTTTTAGTTTTAACTTATAAATTGTTATTAAGGTCTATAAAAAGCAATTACTTGAAAGAGCTAATAGCCTTGAAAAATCAGTTACAAAATTAATTGAACATTTTGGCAAGACAGCTTTTCCTTCTACTATTTTGACTCCACTTCCAATATCACAACTGGTATGGTGTAACATATTTATGAAACAATACATTTATATTAAGTTAAATTATTATTTTACTGCATAGATATCACCAAGCATTGATAATAATCTGAACCTTCAACAGTTAACTCCTACATCTATTGCAAATCCTATATCTATTTCTCCTATACCAATGTTAAGAAGAGATTCATCGTGTTCAACAGAATTAAATATTGAATCTTTACCGGCACCTGTTGAATTTTCTGATTGCCGCCAGGAAATAGTTCTAGATGATCAAAATGCTGTGTATGTTAAATTACATTTTTTTTTTTTATGTATTTTAAACTTGCTATCAAATAAATAATAATGAGTATAATAATGTTTAAACAGTATGTCCGAAGAAGATACAAGTACATATCAAACTTCACAGTATGATGATTTGAATAGCTATTGTCAAATATACGAAACTGATAAATTAAAAAATGAATGCAAAAATCAAATTAGTGAACCTCTAAAAACATATCCTGCATTTAAAATAAGTGAAGAAGAATCYTTGGGAAATATTTGTCATATTGATTCGTCTGAAGCATCAGATGAAATACCAAATAGTTATAAAATGTATGATAACAAGTGCCAAGCCTCTTCGTCTCGTTACAGTTTTCGTCAAGCTTGCAAAGGCCCATTTTCACGTAATCGACCTAAATTGAATTTTGGTGTAAATGAATGTATGGAGTCTGATGTAGATGTATCAAATTTAATATCCTCATCCCCGGAAGATGAAGAAAGTGAAGACTTTCGTAAAGAGCTTATAGTTACAGAAAATAGTTCTAAAAAGTGTAGTATTGCACATTTTATTGAAGGAAATGACATTGCACGAAGATCAATTAAATGCCGCCATCTTAATAAAACATACAGTGACATGGAAGCTGAAATTGAATTTGGATTTAAAAATATATCCAAGGAATCAKAAAAATATACTGTTAACAACGTGGGTTTAGAAGTACCGAATGAATCAAAATTTGTTACAGATAAAAATGAAATAAATGTCAGAATTCAAGGTTCTAATGGTAATATAAGTACAAATGGTGATAATTCATTCCTACTTCAAGATCCTAAATCAACAAGTGATATTTTTGATGCTGCTGCTGATGATGATGATGATAATGATGAATTACATAGTTTCAAAGGATTAAAAAGAAGTCAGACAATGACTGGTCCAGCTGTAGTCATAAATCCACCTTCTCCCCAAAATTTCTCTCCCAATAAATTATGTGATGTAGAAGAGTCACATCTGGATTGTAGAAGAAATAGTTTTGACAGTTGTCGGAGACGTAAGTATAACCACTTAATGGGACTAAAAATTTAAATTTACTAATTGTTTTTACTTTTTAGTTTCTGCAGCATCACCTATCATGTTAAATACTTCACCTTTGCGATCTTCACATAGAATTTCTAGTAGTACTGCATTAAATAATCGAAATCATTCACCTACGCCATGTTCAGTTCAAAATTATACAACGCTTAAACGCAATAAACATTTACCAATCATCAATCCATTAGTTACTCTACCCACTTGGCCCAGTAAGAAAAAATATTATAAAATGGTTAATTCAATTTTATTTAATAATCTTTATTATTTATCATTATACTTTCAATAGATGTAACAGAATCAAGTTTGATAAGTCAAGTGTTATTAGCAAATGCTGATGCTCTATGTGCTCCTGCTGTACCTTTGATGGACCCAGATGAAACATTGCTGTAAATAATAATTATAATAATAAATTTATAAGTAACAATAATAGTTTTATTTTTATTTCAGAGAAGGATTTTTTGAAAAATGCATTATGAATAACTATTTTGGAATAGGCATTGATGCTAAAATATCATTAGATTTTCATCATAAACGAGAAGAACATCCTGAAAAATGTAGGTCACGGACTCGAAATTACATGTGGTATGGAGTATTAGGAAGCAAACAGTGGTTACAGGTAAATTATTTTTTATAATATATATATATATAATATATATACAGTAATCACTCAATAATTTGAAAAACTCCATAAATTTAACTAAATGCTTAGTCCCTTGAGAAAACCTATGGTTAGAAGAAAATACATGTATTCCGGTTCCTTCGATAATTCAAAAATTTTTGTCGTTGAGACACACTCTACAATTTAAATTTATTTCCAGGACTTCTATAATTCAAATTTTCCCTAAACCCGATAATATATATTGTAGAACTTCGATTAACCATCTTTCTCGGTTACCCATCAGGTGCCACACTTGCATAGACTATTTGCGCATTGCAGTAAATCTTATCACTTTGTGCTTTGTGCATAAGTAGGTTTATAAACTTTCCGGCAATATCTACTAGATAAGTAATGGGTACATAATATGTACCAATAAGTAATGGTACGGTACCTAAGTATATCAATAAGCATGTCATAATTATTCAAATTATAATAAATAATATGTACATATGTTAAAAAAAATGTTTGTTGCTTGCTTAACAGTCTTTTGATTATCCGTCAAAGCTCTGGCCCCGAGAGTGATGATTAATCCAGGTTCTACTGTATGTTCATAATTTAATATGTATAAAGATTATGTAGAATCTATTTGATGTACTTGTAATGAAACTAATAACGATAGCAATTAATTATTAACATACCTTACTTACCTTACCTAATCTAGACTTTAATCAGTTTAATTGTATAATTTTACCAAAAT